CCTAACATTAAAGCATTAATTTATTATTATAAGCAAGGTTCGTTGTCAAGTTTTGAATTCTCATATACTTGTATTTTGATTGGTCATTGCAGCTTATATAACAGCGTTTCCCCTAGCGAAGGAAGTTTCTTTGATTTGAACATTTTTAAAACCCTTTATTCTACATTCAACACTCTCACTTATTAATTTTTTGTTTTGAAACAAAAATCGCTATTTTTGTAGTGATTTTATAACATGTTATGATTTTCGAATAAATACTATATATATATATATATCGTTCGGTAGACAAGGTCGAATTTACTGCATATAAACTTCAATTCGACCTTGTCTACCGAACGATTCTTTGGCCGATCGGTAAGGCACGTCAGCGTAAATGACGGTTCCGTATAGGATGCAGGTTCGAATCCTGTCAAAGAACGAATATTTTCTATGAAAATTTCTCGGACATTCAGGCCGGTAAATGTTATTTAATACTGTTTATCATAAACAGAACATTTACTTAAATACTTGTATCTATAAAAAAAAAAACAACGTTACACATAAAAATGTCTTTAATAAATAAATTGTCGGACCTTGTCCATTTCTTAATATATATATATATGTATTTAATTTTTCGCGACATAACTTTAACTACGAATATATACAGCTATTGATATTTATATGCTATTTGGAGAATAATAGCATAATAATATATACGAATAACATCTCGTGTTACCAGGTTAGTAATCTCGTCAATAATTATAAGTAAAACGGAAAAACTGTGGAAATAACTTTGTATCATGGAATGTAAATATGCCCTGAAACATGTTAAGAATGTCATTTAATCAATGCCAGTTTTATGGTGAAAAATACTGACTGAGATAATAAAATCTGGCATTGAGGGAATAAGATCAAAACGAGTCAGTAAGTGATGCATGAGAGAATATAAAGTAAAAGAAAAAAAAGACAAGGAATATATGAGAGTAGGATAGTGAGCGAATGAGAAATATGGGGAAGAAAAATAGAAACATAAATTACAAGAGAGTGACAAACAAAGCGTGAATAAAGTGAGGAATAAAAATCGTAAGAGAGAGATGGAGTTAGTGTGTGAGAGAGAATGATAGAAAGAAAAACTGAGAGATATAGAAAGAAACATTTTCAGAAGGAGAGGTTGAAACAAAAAATTTAAGGCAGAAAGAAAAAGAAAGTTGATTATATAAGCAGCAAGTAAAAGCGACATAGAAAAATGAAAAGGGGAGAGATAAATAATTACAAGTGAGAGAGTGGGATAGAATCAGAAAGAAAGAGAAAGAAAGAATAATTTAATAGAGAGAGACAGAAAATATAAGGAGAAAGAAAAGAAAGATGATGAAATAAAGAGAAACCGTAACTCAAAACGGAAAAAAAAACATAAGGAAAGAGAGAGAGAGAGAGATAGATAGAGAGAGAGAAAGAGAAAAACAAAAATTACAAAAGAGAGAACGATAAAAGCATAAACCGGAAGAGATAGAAACCAGAAGAGATAGATAGAAAGAAACAAATTATGAGAGAGAGAGAGAGAGAGAGAGAGAGAAAGAGAAACAAAAATTACAAAAGAGAGAACGATAAAAGCATAAACCGGAAGAGATAGAAACCAGAAGAGATAGATAGAAAGAAACAAATTATGAGAGAGAGAGAGAGAGAGAGAGAGAGAGAGAGAGAGAGAGTAAGAAAAATAAGAAAGAAAGAAAATGGAAGATACTAAACATTGAAGTAAATGCACATCGTCGCGGACTAATGGTTAGCAAGTGAGTCTCACAAACTATGCTTACTCAAGCGAATATACTAGGCCTGGCAACCATGTGACTGGTGACATGACTGGGGGCGAACATGCGGAGACTTAAATTACTACTAAATAACAATTACTGAGAACATTATTAGCAAGGAACTTGTTAATAATGTCCAATAATTAGTTAATTAGCAAGTATATATAATATGAAGCATCTTACAATTATTGACTTGTTTCCATAAATGTAAATGTACAAATAAAGAACAAAAATGCTATAAAATAACTAATTGCCCAGAAATTACTTTATTCACCATCAGTTAGACATTTTTAGATAATATTGCAAAAATAATGAGTGAATTTATATAATATAATCAAAAACCAATTTTAGAATTTTACAAAATCGTGTATTAACAAAGTTTGAGAATTTTAGTTAAACAATAATTTTGGTAATCTTTACAAAATGTATTGTGATTTTTGTTACTCACAGAAGATGACGGAAATACTTATTTAGATATTACCAGAACACATAGTTTAAAAAAATTAAAATCTATTCATATTAATAAGAAAACAAAATTAATTAACAGAATAATTTGGGGAGATAACCAATCATATATAAGTAAAAAGAGGAAAAATTGAAAATATCTGGTATCCCTGTAGTATCCAGTATAATCTATAAATTAACAAAATCTATTTCTTTAAAAAAGATTTCATATTCTTGAAAATGAAAAGGAATATTATTAAATACTTCCTCTTATGTGGGACATTCTTTTCTTGTGATATAGCCTGCTATATACAAAAGTGATATTTTAATATTTTTCGGGGTCCTTCTTTCAAGATCTGGTAAATTATCAAATGTCTGGCATCCAAGTTCCTCCATCAAATGCCCACATTTTGAGCAATTATGGCCTGGATCAAAGTTGTTTTCTTTGACATCATCATTTACTTTAAGAAGTAGTTTATTTTTTAAAAATATGAAATTTTTCAATGACATTTTGAACTGTTATAAAATATGCACTTCAGAACTTGTCTTAATTTTCTAAATTCATTTCCTAAATAGTCTGAGGAAAATTCATCAATCATAACAAAATTAAACCCACTACTTAGCATATATCTACAAACATCAATTAAGCCATTGTATGTATGGTCAGTGTTTAAACTAGAATCTCTTGTTTATTATTACATTTTTTTCCTCTTTTTATCATTTTCCTGGAGTTGAAAGGAGGGGAAGAAATAATAAATGTTCCTCATCTCAATCTAATATCAGCTTTTTTTAGCGGATCACTGTTCTTAGTATCTCCATATATTTCTTTGAAACAGACAATTTTCCAATGATATTAACTGTTTCTGCAGTATCCTCCGCATTAAATAATGGGTGTTTTAATGAGAGCTACGGTTTGATTAAAAAAATTAAACAATGGAAACATTTTGTCACTGAACAGGTTTTGGGTAAACTGCTACATCACTTAGTTTCGGCATCTTAAAGAACTGAGCTTTTATATTCAAAAAGACTTTTTACAATTTCCAATTTTGCTGTCATCTTTTTTGCCTTCAGAATAAAATAATAAGTCAGAAGTCGGTTCAGTAATCCAGTTATTCTGAATATTTTTTAAGAAGATGGACATAATCAAAAAATAAGTATATACATTTTTTCTTATCCATGTCAATTTTTTTTTAAAAAAGTTTGATGGGTCACTTTTATTGTCACATACAATTGCAATGACTTGAGCGTTTGACTGTATCAAAAATATATAAGCTTTTTTAATATAACATCTTTTGTCTTCCATTTAAATTTTTTTACCATTATGCCTAATACTCATTATGATGATCCCTCAAAATCTTCATCCAAAGCAAATAAGTTTCCTCCATGAAATTTTAGAACAATCTTCACATAAACTTCATCAACTAAAAGATTACACATTTTTATGATTTTCACAGGTATCACTAAATTATCACCAAGAAAAAGTCATCTAATTTTGAAACTTCTGATGTCAAATAAGGTAATATTCTCACAATGGGTAACCTAGAATCATCCTAAATTCTGTTATATAATGACTGAAAAGTAACAGCGTATTCAAATGCCCTGATAAGAATATCAGAAACATAATGTTTGTTACAATCTTTTGTAGTGATATAACATTAATATGCTCTTTTATTTGTTTTATATTATTATTTATTTTTAAGTTAACAAGATAATGAATTGCTTCATTGATTTCTGACCAGTGCTGAAACATTGATATTCGTCTTCTTGAAAGAGAAAAACTGTATTTATATCAGCACTATGGCATTCAAACATGCATTTTCAAACATTTTAATTAAAAACAATGTAATACTTTCACTAAAAAAAAAAAAAGAAAATCAACAGATTGGATGAACAGCCGATTGTTTGATTTATATCATGCAACTGCCGAGACGAAATCCTGTTGATGAATATTCAGATACAATTTTTCAAAAGCGAGGATTTTGTCTTTTTCTAGGAACAGTGCCATCTCATCATTTTACACATATCGCACAGATACAGACGTTTTATTTGTTGTTCTTGGATTTGGTTGAGGACGAGGCAATACACTTGATGGCAAATGATGAAATATTAAGGAAGGATTTCTGGATTATACTTTCCCCTAATAACCACTGTTTTATAATCAAATGGAAAATGCCTTTCACAAAAAAACAGTGTTTGGTCTTTCAGGGTCTGATCTTGGGGAAGGGGAAATACACGAACATTATTTTGCTCATCATAGTTACCATGTCAACATGTTACACATCACTTTTTGACCATTTTGAGAAAGGTTTTGGGGTAATGAAATTGATAAATATTAACTATTCTATTATTCTGTAAATTATATGGTGCTTCTAAAAAGGGCATGAAACTTATATTATAAGGTGTGGAGGGTTTGGATTTTAGAATTTAAAGTTGCAGAATTTAAAATTGAAGGTTTGCATGAGTGTGAGAATTTTTTGAGACTAACATGGATGTAAAATTTGGGATTCAGACATAGAAATTTCAGAGTTTGGAAAATTAAATTTTATATAATCGCATTTTACAGTGGATATCAATCACCTCCTTCTCCTCCATAAAAACGATTATCTAAACAAAATTAACTAGTTTAATATTTTTAGAGTATATATATATATATAAATTTAAATTGACGAAAAATATTAAACTTAAAAGAAAGCACTGGACGGCCGTTTCGTCCTATATTTTGGGACACATGCGTGTCCGTCAACCTTAAACAATAATCTTTGTCAATTTTATTTTTCAGTCTTTATGATGGTCGATACTTGATCTATCTCTTACTGTTACATCCCCGGGCAACGCCGGGCTCTACTGCTAGTTAATAATAAAAAAAATATAGAGATAGAGCATTAAGGTTATACATCCATTCTTATTAGAAATATTGCGAAGTCGCTTGTTTCTTTTACAAACAAAATGCAAGATAACAGTCTCGGATATATCTACATTAATGGAAGTTCCTTCTTATCAATGGAATGCGAAGAGAATGAATGTATTCACCATCCCCTACCCGTCTGCATGATAACGCGTAGGTGTGAAGGTCTAAACTAGTGCAACTAAGAATTGTAGCTAGTCAGAACATTTGGCATGGAAATGACGATTGAATAGAGATAAGCTTTCGACATTTTGTCTTTTCGAAAGCAAATGTAGGGTTGAAAATAATTCATCATTCACAAGGCGGAATGAATGCTTTTGAAGATTGGTAAAGTTGAAAAGTAAAGATTCAACAACTTATAGAGCATAGCTGCAGCATACACCCGGTCGGTTGAGCCGATTTCAACAAATGAACAGGCCTCATGCGTAGCAGATGTCGTATATATTCAGATGTCCAAATCCATAGTTCGATGTTTCAGTGGGAATTTGGATTACCAAGCGGTCTCCAGCTGCATGTGTACAGACTATTAGAATAGTTTCCTTGTCAATTAATCTCCGCTGCTATTTTACCCACAGGTGGGGGAGAAGTGGTGGATTCATACTTTTCTCAAGGGTATTAGCATTATCTCGATGAGCAGTGATAAGCTTGCGACATTTTGTCTGTACTAGAAGCAAATGTAGGGTTGAAAATAATTCATCACTCACAAGGCCGAATGAATGTTTTTGAAGATGGTAAAGCTGGAAAGTAAAGATTCAACATCTTATAGAGTATAGCTGCAACATTCACCCTTAAATTAAAGACATTAGTTCCATTTCATCCTCAAGCGAATTTTGGAGTAACCTATCTTTAAAATTAATGGGTTTTAAAGGCACAGCCAAAAATCATAATTCACGTTTCCAAGGATACAGAGAAATCTATTCATCTAGACAAGGGGTGTTTGTGTGTTCATTATCGCTGTATTTTGATGTATCAGTTATTAGTTACGTTTTGGTAGGGGTAGGGATGTATTTTTCAATGAATTCTGACATCCGTTAAATGCATGTCGTCTGGATTTTTTTTTTAAATTATTGTTAACGGCAAAAATTCTGGCGGCATTTTTTTTCTATTTCTATACTTAAAGATTTTTTAAATGTTGTTAATACTGTTTATTATAAACAGAGCATTTCCTTAAATATTTGTATCTATAAAAAGCACGATTAAACATAAAAAATGCCTTAAATAATTTCATAATAATATTAATACAACATATATATATATATATATATATATATATATATATATATAAAGAAAGAACAGTAAGATATATAATCCGGTTCAGTTAGCATACAACTGAAACACCTCTATAATAAATGTACTATAGGCACTTAAATGAATCCAATAAAACACCTACTGAAAAATGAAATTATCACAAAAGCTGCAGGATGTAGGGTAGTGTACGACCCATGTTCTTTGTACATACATATGAAACTTTATTACTTAGGTTATATATATTTAAAATGAATAAATTAATTAATTAATAAATAAAGTTTACTAAATCTGAGAAATGACTTAGCTAGTTCTGTAGTAAGTGCCATAAATATTACTTAAATAATATTTAATTATAAAAGTTTAAAAATCGTAATTTACATATAATTTGCAATGGAAAAATAATTTTACTTACTATGAGTAATTTTCCTTCTGTTATAAAGTAATATAGTCTATTAAAACTAACAATGAAAATATTTTAAAATTTTAAAGTTGTAATTTTAAAATTGTAATTAAAATTGTAGTTAAATAAAATGAATTCTAACCTAAACTTCTTTTAATTAGTACTACATGCACTTAATAGAATCCAATAAAAACACCTATAGTAAAATAAAATTAATATGAAATGCCATAAGATGTAAGCTTTTGAATGACACATGTCCTTTGTACTTACATGAGAAACAATATATTACTAGGTTTATATATAAAGTAGAAAGTTTACTAAATCAGTGAAATTAAGTAACCATTTTTGCGGTCATAGTCATAAATTTTTCATTAAAAAAAAAGAAATGTAACCTCATATACATACTTAAACTTGATGTTAAAATAATCCTACATAATATAGTGGATTCTAATACATTTAACTGTTCTTAAAAAGAATATAGTATAATAAAAATTAAAAATGAGAATATTTCAAATCGTAGTTAAATAAAAAATATTATGATCTGAACACCCCCGAAAATCTTTAAATTTATAAATGGAAAAAAAATGCCGTAAGAATTTTTTTACCGTTAAAATACATCCCTAACCCTTACCAAATTGTAACTAATAACTGATACAATGATACTGTCATAAGGAAAACCTAGACATCCCTTGTCCAATTGAAGTCGAATATTCTGTAACCATGGAAACGTGATTTTAGCTGTGTCTTTAAGACCCAGTAATTTTTAAAAAGTTACTCCATAATTCGCTTGAGGATGAAATGGAACTAATGCTTTTAATTAATTGCAAAATTAAATTCTGGGCTTTTAGCTTCTATTTTTGAAATATGGTTAGAACTGTGTAGTGGAAAAAACATATTTTAAATCAATTAATTTATAATATATATATATATATATATATATATATATATATATATATATATATATATATATATGCTCTTCTGCTCAGGGATCCATCATTACAGGGAACTTTTTTCTGATGGCCTTATGTCCGACTATGTTAACTTGCACAATATGCATTGACTTGGGCTTTGTCATGGAGCGATGTTTACTGATTTTTTGAGTTGCAAATCGCAGCCCTAGTTACCGGTTTAATATCTTCATCCGTGTCGTTGCAAGATTTATAACTTTCAAAGCAATAAAAAGAAACTGCAGAGTAGAAAAATGCTGTTAACAATTCTTTGCATTTTTAAATTTTGCTCGGGGGAACGGAACCAACTGATCATGCATTGTTTATTTACTTGACGGTAAAATAATCGAGGTAGCTGATTGATTTTCTGATTCTGTAAGGGTGTTTATTAGGAGACTGGGCGAAAAGAAAGACACGAATCAATATAACAGTTTTTGTTTTTCATTTAAAAGTTGCTTTTTCCATCGAAAGTATACGTCTTTCTTTTGCTACGTCACTGTTTCTTCGTTTGCCCAGTTTACATCCAGAAAAGAATCATGACGATTCTTTAAAATCTGTAGTTTACTATTAATTGACTGTTCAATGCGTGTCCTAGAAAAGAACCAAACAATACATTTTCGTACAAAATGGCGTTATGAAATTCCAGTATTCACTAAATTAACATATAACTTAGATGTTCATTAGTCTTTCTTTGGAAGACAAATAAAAAAACTTCTTAATGGTCAGTGCTTCTTCTTTCATGTGCAGTTTCCTTTAGGACGTGAACGATAAGCGTTCTTCATAACTTTCTCTAATTTATACTATTTACATTGTTCGGATTATCATCCACATCTTTGTTGCAATATTTATATTTCGGGCGTTGTACGCTCCGGCTTTGGAATGGAATGTCGAACTGAACCCTTTATTTCACTCACTGGGGTAGACTGATCTAGTTCTAGTGGATGTTAATTTTCAGTTATCTCCTGTTAATTCCCTTCTCCAAGTTCTCCACCGCCTTAACTTAACCAGGTATTGAACTCAGACTCTTTGGGTCCTCTCACTGGATCTCACTAACGTCTTTATCCACTGTTCTCTGTGTCCTTGAGGACATCTGTGTATGAATTTCTGGGATTTATAAATCTAATGTATTCAGCAACGATTTTCATTTTAGAAATATAGACAGGTACTTTCTCTAATTTGTTGCGCAACGTTACATTTCACCTTTGCCATCCCTTTTTGGCTGTGTTCCTCCATCCACTTAAACTTGTAGATTACATGTTGGTTCTCTTTGCTTTCAATATGTCCTCTGAGTGTCATATTCCTCAAGTCGTATTTCGAGTTGTTGAAGTTCTAACTTCCTTCATTTTGGCTCTAACTGCGAATCGCCTTTATGTTTCAGATTTATATAAAAAATATTCTCGGCGCTTAGAATTTCCCTCCATGATATTCGAAACATCCTTCCGCAAAGCTAGAAGACATTCGCTTCCATAACTGCCATATAAGAGAATTGATGTTATATGGCTGTTCGGCACTCTTTCACGGCGATGCACCAGCACCCACTGAATCGAGAAAGAGCTATCGATCTGTCAATCCTACTGGTGGTGCCCTTCGGTCAATTCTTTTAAGTATCAGCTTTGCAAACATACTCCCACCGGAACCGAACTCTGGTTTTCCGCAGGCTACCCGCTGGGTCATGAATGCTAACGCCGGCGGATCACCGGTCGGCATCGTTTACGGTCGGAACTACGATGGTATCTGGTCGTATTCCAACCTCAGACTTTCGCTCCTGACCGAGAAAAAAGTACTTTCCTAACGCTATCACTGCAGTTCGTCTTGCGACGATGCAAGAATTTCACCTCTAACGTCGCAATACGAGTGGTCCCGACCGCTCCTTTCGATCATTGCCTCGCCGTAGACAGAGACCGAAAGACGTAGACTAGACCCTCTTCCATCATTAGGTACTTCCTTGTCTTTTCTCTACTAAAATTCACCCAATACTAAAGATATTCAAGATAGAGTGCTACTGTTAAAATTGTGATGATGAATGAGTTGTGATATGAATGAAAAAAAAAAGATGTAGTAAAAAGTGAAGATTATGGGGATAGGGAGGATGAATAACGATTGGCCCTTGAAGAGTGAACTGAACGATAGTAAGCACCCACGCAGGAGCCTGTTCGACAAATACTTTGGAAAAAGCAAGCTGAATGGAAATTTTTCATTTGTAATGCGGGACTAAGTATGATTCCACCCCGTGGAAGTAGCATGGCGTGTCCTATCTGTAAATGCCTGAACTGGTCGAAATAAAGAATAGAGCTCATCTGAAGATATACGTGACTTAAGGCCAAATCATTTTGAAACACCGGTTCCCTTACGATCACTAAAGTTAAGCAACGTCGAACCTAGTCAGTACGTAGAATACCGGAATTTCAGGAGCTGTAAGTTTGGATGTGCGCGTGATGTAATGGGCAATAACCCGGAAAACCGAGATCCAATTCTAGTTGAGTTCGTTATTCACTTACGGGCAAATACTCTTGGAATTCATCACTTCTCCCCTAGATATGGGTTAATTATTAAGACTTGTATTGCTAAAATAGTATCTGTAAACAAATCTTACAATCTAAAAATGTTTTCTGCCTTTGAATGACTTGCAGTGGTTTTAGAAGTCGTAGAAAGTAAATGAATCAATAATTGACTTTTTTTTGTATAATTTTAGCATTTAGAATTTTAGAGCTTTCTTTGCAGTGTGTCATATAATATTTTGGTATTATCTACAAAAGTTGTCATATTTTGGTAACTGTGATTTCGCTGATTGTGAGGGGATGATCGAGTTTTGACAAAGGGCAAGTCAACTTAGTGAGAGAGTGTGATTCAAATGTGGCTAATGCAAGATTTTTTTCATGTTAGTATTGGAGATAAAATCCCATGAATGATGTAAACATTCAGGAACAGGATTATTTTTTAGATGGTTGGGTTTTTGAGCCCTGTTCCTATTCCCATTGTGTTCATTATATTTATTTACACGCAAATGCAATTGCGAAAGGTATGTATCCTCCTCTTCTCCCCCAGTTACGGGTTAATTAGTAAGACTTGTATCAGTATTATGTCCAAAAGTATTCGTATAATCTAAAAATATTTTCTGGATTTAAGTAACATGCAATGCTTTGGTTTGGTTTGTTTTACGGCATATCAACCTCAATGGGTTATTTAATGTCGACAAGTTTTTTATTGTTGGTAATATTTTTTGCAAAAATGTATTACTGGTAATATTTTTCCTACAAAATTGTATTGCTGGTAATATTTGTTTCCTTCAAAAATGTATTGCTGGTAATAATTTTTTTTATAGCTTTATGCCGGTGTTGACTGTCATTTGTATCAGGTCATCCCATAAGTTCTGTCCGAATTTTAACTTTTTGTTAAAATGAACGAAATGTAAAGATAATTTTATAATGTCTAATGGATCTGAACATTATTTTTATATTTAGAGGCATTTAAACTGATCAAATTTTATTTCAGAGAACAATAAAATTAAATTTTGTTTGATTAAAACCCTGCTAACATGGAAGTACCCAAGAATCATTTGAGGCACATAATGCTTTATGAGTTCAAGAAAGGAAACTCAGCAGCCAAAGCGGCTAGAAACATTCACTCAGTTTATGGAGAGGAATGTGTGAATGAAAGAACTTGCAGAAGACGGTTTGCAAAATTCAGAGGTGGAGATCGAATGGGACGTCCAGTTGCGTTTGATGAAAAGCTTCTTGAAGCAGCCCATGAAGAAAATCCTGCTTTATCAGTTGAGGAATTGGCAGCGGTTCTCAGTTCAAACCATACAACTGTTCATCGTCATCATCAACAACTTAGAAAAGTTGCTAAACTTGGAAAATGGGTGCCTCATGAATTGTCTGAAAAGAACCTCAAATTCCGAGTTGACTTTTGCTCTTCTCTCCATTCTCGCCAACTTGTTTCACCTTTTTTGGATAGAGTTGTGACTGGCGACGAAAAATGGATCTTTTATCGAAATGCTAAGCGTCGTAGACAGTGGCTTGGTAAAGGGGAAGGACCCCAGCCACAGCCGAGAAGGGAACTTCATGGGCAAAATGTTCTTCTTTCAATCTGGTGGGATCGCCAAGGAATTATCCACTTTGAATTCTTACCACCTAATGCAACAATTAATGCTCAAATATACTGTCAGCAATTAGAGCGTTTGAACCGAGCTTTGAATAAAAAAGACCTGCTCTAGTGAATCGAAAAGAGGTGATGTTTCTTCAGGACAGTGCGCGACCCCACACAGCAAGAATCACGTCACAAAAGATCGAAGAACTTGGTTGGGAGAAAATTCCTCATCCAACTTATTCTCCCGATCTTGCTCCTTCAGACTACCATTTGTCTCATAGCTTACAGAATCATTTGGAAGAAACAGCTTTTGTAACACAGGAAGAATTTAAAACTGACATTTGTGAGTTCTTCGAATCAAAGCCAAAATAATTTTACAGTAATGGAATTAGTAAGCTTGTTAATAGATGGAAGGAAGTCATAGATAATCAGGGAAATACATTATTAATTGAATCTGTAATTAAATGTAACAATTGGTCACTTGTTTTATTTATTCAAAATTCGGACAGAACTTATGGGATGACCTGATACATTTCTGAGATCGGCTTTGCGTTGTAGAGATTTTGAAATTTTAGCTGACTGTCTCAGTGATTTATTAGTTACAACAACCTATTTGACTGATTGTTGTTTATTTCCCAAGATAGGACAAATAAACATGCTGAAGCAGCATACAAAAGGAACCCCCCCCCCAATATAGAGATTCATTACGGGGTTGCAAAAGATGCAAAGAAATTGACATGGATCGTCTTCCTTTGAATTGAAGAAGTACACGAAGGCAGATGAAAGAATTTTGAAGAGTCTTTCTTCATTTTCACAGAGATTTTTAAACTGAATATTTGAGGGGAATTGCATAAAATTCTCAATAAAAATTTAATGAAAAATAAAGTCATGTATCAGAAAATGATCCTTCATAAATTACTCATATTTGTTTTTAAAGAGTGGGCGAAAAATGTTCATAATTTTTATGTTGTGCTATCCATGCGCAGAGTAGGCTAGTAGTGAGTTGTCCTGAAATTGAGTTGTTATGAATATGAATCAGCGATACTGAGTCGGCTATGTTGAGTCGGAAGTGTTGAGTCGGCAGTGTTGAGTTGGCAGTGATGAGTCGGCAGTGTTGAGTCAGCGGCGTTGAGTTGGTAGTGATGAATTATCGTGCATCCGAAGGGACCATAACAGTTAGCACAAGAGTTTGCTTGATGTATAAGAAAACGAGTAGAAAATATACTAACAAAAGACCAGGCAGAAGAATGGGCATTGCACGATTTGTTTGTAAGACATTGCAGATGATCGCAAATTATTAATCGATATGGGAAGTTTTAGAAAAAGGCAAATTCCCGCAACGAATGAGCAAAAATTTCCGCTACTGAAATTGAAGATTTTCTTTCGCGACTTTACTAGAATTTTTCAATGAGATTAAAGTTACCGGTGTTAGACAAATACTGCTCGGTCTCATATTGTCCGCTGACCTGAGATGGAAGGAATACATTGAGTCAATAGCTTTGCCCACCGCTAGGAAAGTTGGCTCCCTGTGCCGCGCCAGGAAATTTTTCTCGCCGGAGTCGATCTTTCAAATCTATTAATCAACCATTCGCCCTTACATGGAGTATTGCTGCCATATAAGGTCTGATGTCCCTTCTCACTGTCTCAAGGTCCTTGATAAAATCCAAAGACGGATATGCAATGTAATTGGCCTTGATCTGTCATCTCGTCTGCAGTCGCTCTCTCACAGACGTGCCGTTGCCTCCCTCTGTCTTTTTTTTACAAATACTTTCAGGGTAACTGCTCCGATGAGCTGCTTTCGCTGGTTCCCAGACTTCATGAATCTAAGCGTTCTACTAGGCTGGCATCTTGCTCTCACCCGTTCACTATCGAAACTGTTAAATATAGCCGCCTCTTCTACTCCAATAGCTTCATGTCTCGCACCTCTCACTTGTGGAACTCCCTCCCCATTTCTTGTTTTCCTGATAGCTATAATCTCCAACTATTCAAATGTAATGTCAATCGACGTCTCCAGATTCCATGATCTATCCCCTAATCGTCTCGTCTTTCCTCTATCACTCCTCTTTATTCTCGCTCCAACTCTGCACCCCCTTGCGTGCTAGTGGCTTCTCGCCTTGCTTAGTGTTGAATGCTTAAAAAAAATAAAATAAAATCACAAAGAATCGATGAACGATGGGATGGTGGAAATCAGCTGTAAGAAACGAGAGTAAGGCAGAAAAAAAGAGAGAACATAGAGAATGCAGTAGAGCTATTTTCATCGTCAGAATATTAAACAATTTATTAAAAGCCGCAAATAGGTGTGTGCATAAATCTTCAACATAACTGTTATTGACGCAAACTTTGAAATCAGCGAGCAGAGTTCAAATTCTAATCAAATATGTTCCATTCACTTTTAGGAAAACAAGGTTTATCTCTCACTCCCCCCAGGTTGTGGGTTAAATAACAAGGTAGACGTGTTTTGGGTGGATATCAGTCTAAGAAATAAAAAATTCTGAATTTCAAATTTTTCTTCGAAATTTTGGGATGAGGAATTATCATTACACTTGTGAATAAAAGGATTGATTTGAGAGTTTGGTGATATAGTGTTTGTGTTTTCAATCCCTTGGTCGAGTAGTATG